TCAAATTCTTCCATTATCTCATTAAATTCTTTATCATTAATTGTTACTTCTTTTTCTCTATTTTTCTCCATCCTTTCGTATTCTTCAAATAAATTTTTATATTCTTTTAGATCCTCATTTATCTTTCTACTAATTTCTTTTTCATTTTCGTATATTGTTTTATGACACAAAATTATACTTGCTGTACAGTATTCATAGTGTCTTTCCACTTCTTTACATCCTTCACAGTGAAATAATGAAGTTTCTTTCTCCCAAATCAATTTCTCAGTTACTTCATATTTCTCAATTTGTTGGGCAAGAATTTTTACTTTCTTTTTCTCTAAAGATAATTCTTCCTACAATTTTGTTGTTCTTCTTGTTTATTTTTCATTTGTCTTTCAAGGTCTTAGTTGATTTCTTTTATCTGCTCTAATTGTCGTGAAAGTTTTTCATTTTCTTTTTTAAATTGTTGTAGAGATTTAGTTTCTTCAGTTTCTTTATTTACTACTTTGTATTTTTCTTCCAGGGGGGTTATTATTAATATTTCTTTAATTTCTTTTTCTTGTTCTTTTAATTCCTTCTCCTGTTGTTTTCGTAATTCTTTTTCTTCTTTTGTTTCTGTAAACATTATTCTTTCGTGTCCTCCTATTAATTTCATTTTCTTTTTGAATTCTATAATATTAATTACTAATTTCTTCCAATATTTGTTTCCTATAATTTCCAGTTCATCTTTACATTTTGGGCATTTTGTGAATTTGTCGTAGGTATATTGTTTGTGTTTCCAATAGTATAGGTGTTCACAATGCATATATTCTAAGTGGTGTTCACATTGTATCTATCTACATTTCTTTTCAGCAAAAGATCTTATTTCCCAAAATACTTCTGGTTCACACTTGCAGGGGTTTGTTGCGTGTTTATGTTCAGCGCAATATTTACTTGTCTCCCTATAGCAGGTACAAATTGGATATTCAATTCCTGCTTCATCATATTCCACTGCTCCATGAGGACAACATTTTCGGTCATGGATCATGGTTGTGTTAGCATTGAATATATGTATTTCTCCATCTTTTAGTTTCTTGTGATCAAAATATTGGCACATCGGTGTGCAGTGTTT